GGGGGGGGGGGCTTCCCTGGGCTCACCTATCGGAGCCCTGGGTGTGGGTGCCCGCTGGGCAACGGGGAGCCAGGGCGCTGGGACTACCCATTTCTCGGTTGGTTAGAAAGTTCTGGATAACCGGAGGTGGGAAGGTGTGCCGAGGGAGGGCAGTGACCGCGCGCGTTTGAGTTCATTCGTCGTGCAGCGGCTTTTCTGCGCTGGGCAAATTCTTGGTGATTTCTAGTGCCCTTTGTGCGTTCACGGCGTAAAGATTCGGGAACAGGCTTTATCTCTCTTTAAAAAAAAAAAAAAATGATCCTAAAACCAATATTGCTTCCTTGATATCCCTACCGAGCCCAGAGGCGCTCAAGAGCACGAAATACTGAGACTCCGCGGCCTTCGGGAAGGGCTGGGCGGGGCCAGGGCGGGGGCAGAGTCCCAGCTATACCACCGTTCACCAGCTGGGGGACGCCGGGTGAGTTGCCTGGCCCCTCCGAGACTCGGGGTCCCCATCTGCACCGCGGTCGACCCCGTTGTCACGCGTGTGCGTGAGGCAGCGCGGGGCTCGCGGCGCGGCTGAGGACAGGCCGTGTTCGGTGGCAACGGCAGCTCAGGAGCCCTTGCCGTGGCACTCGTTCTGAGCGGGAGGGGCTGCCGGGGTCGCGGGGGCTCGTGGGCCACGAGGTGTCCGTGCTCTGCGGGAGGTGGTCCCCTGGACCTTCCCGGCTGGGAGACTTGCTCACGTTGGGAAACGTGACCTGTCTTCCGCAGTGAGGACCGATGGAATCCGTGTGAAATGCCTGCACCCGCCAGGCCACGGCGGACCACACTGACCCGGACCCTGGGCCGTCAGAGGCCAGGCCGTGCCGAGGCCCTCTGGCCCTTTGTCAACACTGACCAGCCAGCGTGCTCCCCGTGTGGCGGCTCGGGGTCGAGAGCTGTCCCTTACCTCCGCTTTCCCAGACTCCCCTTGCAAGTTCAGTGCCAGGACTCCTGCCTTAGAGACCGGGGCCTCCAGCTGGGCAGGGCCGGCCGAGGGCGTGCAGGCCTGAGCCCCGGGCCCTGCGCTGGCCCCCTGCCTGCATGCTGCCGTCTCTGTGCCCTGGGGGCGTGAGCTGCCGCTGCTGTCCTCGCCTCTCGGGCAGAGTCCTCTGGCCAGGCCGGCCCTAGGGAAGGGTCAGGGGCGGGCTGGCCTGGCCACTGCCTTCCACCCACCTAGTAGGTCCCTGCCCGCACGTTCTCAGGAGGAGGGTGAGCCCACGGGGCTGCTCGGGGGCACCGTCCTCCAGAGGATTCCTGGGAAGTTCCGGGTCCCGTGTCCTCTTCCTTCCCCGGGATGTGCCTGTGTCCTGGGACCAGCAGGCAGCCGGGGTCCCGGGGCATTGCTCCTGTCCCCCGAGGTGGAGTGGGTGCCGGGCAGGCCGAGGGCCCACTGTGGGGAGGGGCTGGGGAGCTGTTCTTTCAGAGGAGTGGTGCTGCGGCCTCCCCGTGCAGAGAAAAGTCTTGTTTTCATCCAGGGCTCAGGAATGAGCTTTGTGCATTTGGAAACACACACAAGAGTGCCAGGGGGAGCGAGTGCGTCTGGCAGGAGGTAGGAGTGGTCGTTTCCTTCAGTGGTAGAGCTGCGAGGGAGGCCGGCCAGGTCGGCACTGGCCAGCAGGGCCCCGCGACATCACCCGCCGGCGTGCTCTGCCCTCCCATCGAGCCCGGCCACTCTGGGGACACCGGCACCAGAGAGCCTGCATAACCTGGAGAAGGTCACCCAGCAAAGCTACAGCGGAGCAGGGCCGGCCCCCAGATCTGTTGTTGCCCAGAGTATTTGACAGGACGCTGTCGCAATGCACAGCAGGTGCCACACTCCCAGCAGCCCCTGTGTGTCTTTAGCGACCCGACCAACAGAACCGCGTCCTCAGAAACTGGGTCACGACCTTCCCCAGCCAGGGCGAACCCCCGGTGGCCCAGACGATGCTGGTGGGTGCTTGTTCCCTTGGCCCCACACGGGCCCGAGGACGTCGGAGTCCCCTGACCCGTGGAGTCTGTGAAACCCCGGAACCTTCCAGGAAGGGCCAGCACAAACTGGGTTTGCAGGCTGCCCCACGTGCCCAGCACCCTCCCGGCCCCGTCTCTGAACTGTGCGGAAGGCCCAGCACAGCCCTCCCCGCCCTCAGCTCAGCTCCTGTTCCAGAAGGACGGGTCTGGGGGTGGGGCTCAGCGGGGGTCGGGGGAGGGCCTCTGTGGTAGGAGGACCCTCGTCTCCAGGAGGGAGGCCCGCCCCAGGGGACAGGGAGCCAGTGAGCTCTGGGCCAGGAGCCAAGTCTGCTTTTAAAGCTGCTGGATGTTTCGAGGGGAAACGAGACCGAACAGGCTGTAAACTGGGGCTTTCTCTGCAAAGCTCCGGGGGCCGGCGGGAGGAAGACGGCATCAGACCCGGGCGACGGTCCTCCCGTCTGTCTGCCTGCCTCTCGTTTGGAAAGACCAGCGATTTCCCTCATCCCTGATTCCCATTGTCCAGAGACCTGGCTTTTCCACTGACATGCTCTTTCCTGGAATTCGGCTTTCCTGGGGCGGCAGCGGGGCCTCCGCGGAACGGGGCTTTCCCAGCGATGCCCAGGGTGGCCTGGGATTCCTCCGGGGAGCACAGAGCCACCCTCGCTCGATGCGCGCGGGTGCCGGCCTCGGGATCTCGCGGGGCTTGGCGTCTGAGGCCCGGGTCCACGTGCTGGCTCTCGCTGTCCCAGCCGTGAGCTCTGCAGCCGTCCCGTCGCCTGCCACAGGGGCGCAGGCGAGGGACCCGGGGCTGGGGAAGCCGCAGTCTGGGGGCCTCTGGAGCCGCCAGACTCGTCATGGGGCAGCAAGGGGGGAGTCAGAGAGTGAAGAAATGCCACAGGGACGGCGGGGTGAGCCATTCGCGTAGCCTGGGACTGCT